CGGGCCCTGAGCTAGCCCGTGAGTACCTGCAGCTGGCTGATGATGGCCTGGTGGCCCTGGACTGGGTCATAGGACCTTGTCCTAGGGGCCGCCGGGTCACTAATTCTGGAGGCCTCCCCCCGGTGCTGCTAGTAATCCCCAATGCGTGGGGACGGCTCACCCGCAATGTGCTGGGGCTCTGCCTGCTGGCCCTGGAGCGCGGCTACTACCCTGTCATCTTCCACCGCCGCGGGCACCACGGCTGCCCCCTGGTCAGCCCCCGACTACAGCCTTTCGGGGACCCGTCCGACCTCAAGGAGGCGGTAACTTACATTCGCTTCCGACACCCGGCGGCCCCCCTGTTCGCGGTGAGCGAAGGCTCTGGGTCCGCGCTGCTGCTTTCCTACTTGGGGGAGTGCGGCTCCTCCAGCTATGTGACCGGCGCGGCCTGCATCTCGCCGGTGCTACGCTGTCGCGAGTGGTTCGAGGCTGGTTTGCCTTGGCTCTATGAGCGTGGGTTCCTGCTGCACCAGAAAATCACCCTCAGCAGGTGGGTACCGGGAATAGAGATCTACATACAGCTCTGCCTGCTATGGAAACAACCCATGGGTAGATGGGAGCAAAGTTCTCACACGGTTTCCAAAGCTGTCCAACCCCCCCCCCCGCCCCCGTAATCGAGAGAGAACTAGGAAAGTGGGTTTCAAAGCCGGAGATGGCCTCATGGCCACAGTCGGTATCATTCTACCACAGCAAGGCCTCCTGCCAGGGCCTCATCAGTCCATCTGGGTCTCGTGTGTCCTAGCAACCGGTGGTCAGCGGAGGCCTGCACCTGACATTTACCACTTAGTCCATAGCCAGATAGGTCGGCAAACAGAGCTCTGGAAGCAATTGCAGCCGATTATCTGTCCAGAGTGTTTGCTTTCAGACTCCGAGCCAGGAGGGGTCAGGAATGAGAAAAGTGGCAGCATTTGATTTATTCAAATTCTTTAAACTGACAGATGTTTTACAGATCTCTATGTGAATACACAACACTTAGTTATGTGTTCTTTTTGAGGCAAGGTCTCCTATAACTCAGGCTGTATAGCTGAAGGTTCCCTAAACTACAGATCCTTCGTCTCTGCCTCCTAAATGCTGAGATTACAAGCATCAGGCACCACACAGCTACCAAAACAAACAAACAAAAAACTTTTAAATCTCCAAAAGTAGAACAATTTTAACAGCAGGCAAAAGTGTTCCATAGAAAACACTTGAATGACATTTTCAGTCTTTCCTAAGACATGACAAATGAGGTCAGAGGCTTGCTGGCAACAAATAGAAAAACCCAGGACATGGGGTCAGGCCTGGCTGGGTTCAAATCCTGAGTTTACAGAAAATTAGCTAGTCCCTTTAAGACTCACTTCTCCTTTATTTGAATGAAGTTAATAATAACACCTGAATCTGACTGGCATCAGGTGGTGGCAATTAGGTTTTTTTTTCTTTGTCATTTTACCTCCTATTTTGAAAAGGTCAAACTCTGAGGCTGAATGAAAAGTGAGAGGCGCTGCCATGACAACTCAGAGGTTTGGTACAAGGTACTCTCATCTAGCCCTATTGCCATAGTTTCCACTCCAAGATGACCACTGTCCGTGTTTACCATAGGCACCAGCCAGAAGCTGGGTTAGGGAAACAAAGAAGAAACCTGTGCCTTTGGGAACCACCCTTCCCATGGAAGTCTGGGGTTGAAAACTCAGGCATAAATCTAAATTCAACTGGCTGAGGCTAGATTAATCTGTCTAAAGGACTGAGCTGAGATGCCCACCCTGGCTTCCTTGTGACCCTTCCAGGCCCTCTCCAGGGAGCTGATACAGCAGAGAGGCCCCTCCTCTAATACAGTAGTTTGCAGGCCTCTATTGGGGAAACCATCTAGTGATTAATTATAACACCAGTGTTTTCTCTGTCGTCAAGCACTTCACTTGCCCCAGGTGTACCTGACCAAGGTTGTAACACCAGGCATGTACGTCAACATAAAAACACAGATGCTAGGCAATAGTGGTGCACGCCTTTAATCCCAGCACTCAGGAGGCAGAGACAGGCGGATCTCTGTGAGTTTGAGGACAGCCAGGGCTACCCAGAGAAACCCTGTCTTGAAAACAGACTACAAAGGTAGTGAACGGAATAAGATAGTGATTGGCTGTGGGAGAGGTGTCAGCTCTGGTTTGGATGATCTGAATTCAACAGTGTGTTCTCTCAAGATGGACCTCAGAGGAGACAGGTCATGAGTTCCTTGGAAAGGGTCAAAGTTACAGGGAGAGCTATCCCTATAGGTTAACAGCTGTGAAGTCAAATGCTACCTCTAAGACAAATGACAGGCTGGTGGCAGGTATGACAGAGATGAAAGATCACCCCTATGGAGAAGTCAAAGTCTGCATGTTATTTGAAAAATCTTCCGATTTTAAATGATGGCCACAATATGAATGGGGTTTGGGAAGCTGGAGAGATGGTTCAGTGGTTAAGTACCATTGCTTTTAAAGAAGAACCTGATTCAACTCCTGGCACCCAAACGGTGGCTCACAACCATCTGTAACTCCAGTTCCAGGGGAGCCAACACCTTTGCACAGGCACATGGTACACAAATATACACACAGACAAAACATTCACATACAAAATAATCTTTAAAAGGGGGGTGTTGTTTGCTTGTGTGTGTGTGTGCCAGACAGAGAGAAAGGGAGAGATGGAGAGAGAAGGGGAGAGGGGGAGGGGGGACAGGACTCATTGTCATTGCTTGCAACTCAAAGAGATCCACCAGGCCTCTGCTTCTTGAGTGTTGGGATTAGAGACCTGACCTGTGCCACCAGCCCTGTTCTTTTCCATAGTTCAAAAGGCTTCATGGCCAGACTCTGGCCAGGGACCGTGTCTGCAGTAACTTGGCCTGTCATCTGATGTTCTGACTTTTCTCTCTCCTGATCTCCCATTCACCCACCTTTTGTGGCCAGGTATGCCTCGGCCCTGGAGGACACAGTAGACACCAGCAGGCTCTTCAGGAGCTGCTCCCTTCGAGAGTTTGAGGAGACCCTATTCTGCCACACCAAGAGTTTCCCCATCAGCTGGGATACCTACTGGGACCTGAATGACCCACTTCGGGATGTGGATGAGGCTGCTGTACCTGTGCTGTGTATCTGCAGTGCTGATGACCCACTGTGTGGACCCCCAGACCACACTCTGCCCACGGAACTCTTCCAAAGCAACCCTTACTTCTTCCTGCTGCTCAGTAAGTGTGGAGGCCACTGTGGCTTCCTGCGCCCTGAGCCCATGCCAGCGTGGAGCCACGAGGTCATCTTGGAGTCCTTCAGGGCCCTGACTGAATTCTTCCGAATGGAAGAGCGGATGAGAGGGCTGAGCAGGCGCAGGACTTCATTTTTAGCAGGGCGTCGTCGCTGGGGAGGCCTGCAAAAGCGAGAGGTCTCACCCTCTTCCAATCTGGAGGAGATGTTCAACTGGAAGCGTTCTTACACCAGGTGAGGCTTGCCTGGCGAAGCCCCTTAGCCTTCGAGAAAGACCCCAACAGATACCCCAGGGGCTGGAAATCTGAGGACTAAGCAGGGGAGCTCTGCTCCCTTCTCTCTTAAAACTGGCTATAGAGAACATTCAGCCCAAGCACACTACCTTGAGAACTGCCCGGCTCTGGGAAACACATTCCTGCTCACCCTGGTCACTGTCTTCTGTCATCAAAGTCACAAGTCAAGTAATAGCACAGGCTAAGTAGACTGGGGAAAAAAAAAATGCTAGCTGTCCTTGCTGTGACTCCAGGGAAGATGAGCTTATGCAAGTCAATGGGTGGTTGTGTCCCACATAAATAATCAGCTTGGTGACTCTGAGTCTGAGCTGGAGCCACTCGGTACAGAAAGGACAGGATGTTTGTGTCTCTGTCGCACTCCCTCATGTGCTCTGCGGTTGTGGTTCGACTGTGAGTTCTGCATCAGCAGCTGGGGAAGCAGGCGGTCAGAGTTGCCTGGCTCTCCCCAGTCTGAGAAGGCAGCAGAGGCAGGACATGCTGGGCTGAGTGAGGCCAGCTTGCTAAGAGCTCACAAGGGTAGACTGTGATTCTGTCCCTGCCTCTCATGGTGGGAGCTCCAGGGCTGAGCTGGGGCTAGGCCACCCACTCCAGCATGGGCTGAGCCATCTCCCAGGGGTATTTTCAGAATAGGAAGTGCTATTGCCCAGTGTCAAAGGGTTCTGTTAGACCATGGTTGTGGTAGGCAGGTTAGGCCAGAAGTACACTCCAGTTCAGTTCTGATTCAGGAGACTCCTCTAGAGAGCTGTAGCCAGGTGTATTCCTCTTGAGATGTGGGCTTTCTAGAAGACAAGAATAACCCTCATAACAGGATTTCTGACCACTTTTCTTCTAGTACTAGCCATTCCCTTTCCAAAGCCAGACAAGAGATCTGTAGAGGAGAGAAAAATCCCAAGAGCTTGATGAACGCAATCCAGCTATTTATGAGTGTCTCACATTACCAGTTTTGTCTGCTCAATTATTCAAAAGGCAGGAAAGCTGATTTCTGGACCCGACCACTCAGCCACTAAGTGGGTGTTCAGTTTTATGGGGAATAATGCTGAAGAACAGAGGACAAGAAGGTATACCACACAGATTGACTTACATATCCTGGATTGTATTAAGCATTTAAACATTATTTTGACAATTGAACATGGGGGTCCATGTGCTGTTATGATTCAAAATCCACCCTGAAATTATGTATTTATTTGTGGTTCTTGGATCTCACTTGCTAGGCAAACACTCTACCACTGAGCTACATAGACCCAGCCCAGAAGTTAGTTTTTAGTTTTATCAATGGGGGGGGGGGGGGGCCACCGGTTTTTGAGTATTTTACAGCAAAAGACATCCTGAGATATCCAGGGCCTGTAGTTCCAGGTTTGGATCAGCTTGTCCTACCACTCTTGTTTTCCTGTTTGCTTTTGTTTTGTTTTGTTTTCTGCCTGGCCTGGAACAAACTATATAGACCAGGCTGGTCTCAAATTCCGAGATCCACCACTGGAATTAAAGGCAGGAGCTAACCCACCCAGTCTTCTGCTCTTGTTCTTTTAGATTAAATAAGAAACTCTGAACTAACTCTAAGATATAATACAGACAACATCCAGTTTTCTAAGGCACATATCCTATTGTGGAAGGTTTTCTCCCATCTTCTCCACTTGCAGCCCCTCCCCCCCCACCCCTCTTCGGGCATTCTGTCATCATTTCTAAGCAAAAGAAATAAAAAGGAACTGAGCTCTGAAGAGGAAGCTCTCTGTCGCTGGCAAACCACAGTCATGGCGGAAGGCTTGGTGAAGGGAGGACTACTGGCATATGGCCACCCAACCCTGCCCCCACATCTAAGACAGCAGGAATTTCAGTTAATTAGGGTCCTGCTGTTCCCATATGCATTGGATCCTCAGAAATAATGGTAAAATGGGAAGAAGCCTGGTGGTAGTTCAACCCTTAAGGCTTAATGGTTCCTAATGGCAAAAAGCCGGGCAATTTTTTTTTTTTTTTTTTTTTTTTTAAGGCTAGCTACTACAGGATCCCCGTTCTCCAAGAGAACATTTGTGAGAAAGAGTGGCTGGTTTGCCATTTTTTTCTTTTCTTTTTCTTTTCTTTCTTTGTTTCTTTTTCTTTCTTTCTTTTTTTTTTTTTGAAAAGCAAGTTTACTAGGGAGGGGAATATCACTTGCAGTAACTTTTTTCTTCTCTTTTGCTGACCTGGTAGTTAAACCCAGAGCCTTGCACATACCAGGCACCACTCGACCATGGACCTCCACCCTTGGAGCTCTCAGAGGAATGACAGAATAACTCTTGTTCAGGTTCTTTGGGCCCCAAGCCACACTGATTTAACCCTAAAACATTTCCCCTTCATGCTCCTCTTACAGGGTATTCTCAGGGAGCGATTTATTATTGTTGTTATTTTTTTGAGATGGCATCTCTCAATGTAGCATTGTCTGGCCTCAAACACACTATATATAGACCAGGCTGGCCTCAAACTCACAGAGATCTGCCTGCTTCTGCCTTCTGAGCTGGGATTAAAGGTGTGTAGCACCGTAACTAGCTTGCATAATTAAAAAAACAAACAAACAAACACCCATCCATTACTATTAAAAGACAAGGACTGAAGGCTGGAGATGTAGCGTGGTTGGCAGAGTGCTTACCTAGCACCCACAGGCCCTGGCCTCAATCCTCAGCACTGCATGAACCTGTGTGATAGTTCACACTTGTAATCCCAGAGGGGGGAGCAGGAGCTCAGAGGTTCATGGTTACCCTTGAAGAGTTTGAAGTCAGCATGGGCTACCTGAGACCCTGCCTCAAAACAACAAAACACACACACACTAAGGCAAAGGGTCATCTTTACCAGGAAGCATGATTTCTGTTGAAGCAGGAAGGGTTTAGACCCTGCCCCTTGTGCTGATTGCGTCGGACAGCTGGAGGAGAACCAGGCACACACTGAGAAAGCGTGGTTCTTTGAACACAACAAAACAAAAACACAAGCTTTGAGTTTGAGGAAGCAACAACAAAATAAACCCCAAGAAATACCAGTGAGTCTCCATGTGGGTGACCGCCATGATCCTCACAGACCTTCTTACTACAGCCTTTTGGTCTCTTGGTTACTCAGAACCTACAAAGGGTAAAGGAAGATGAGCCTGGGGAACCAATGGCTTCAGGGGGACCTTAGGCCAGGAGTAGAGACTGAGCAGTGTGGTGGCTTTGCCTGTAATCCCAACACTTGGGATTACAGGAAGAACAGAACTCAGGGTCAGTCTCAGCTACATAATAAGCCATGGCTATGTCTCAAAAACCAAAACTAAATAAATCATATGAGAGAGAAATGGAGAGTCCTCTGTTTCTACCTGGGACTCAGAGTAGAGGGAGCAGACAATTGCCTCTGAAAGCCTTTTTTGATTTCTGCTAAGTTCTTACTGCTGATAATCAAGAATATGCTAAGCGACTGGGGAGATGGCTCAGTGATTAAGAACACTGGCTACTTTTCCAGAGGAACTGGGTTCAATTCCCAGCAACCACATGGTAGTTCACAACTGTCTGAGACTCCTGTTCAGGGGATCCAACACCCTCCCACAGACATACATGCAGGCAAAACACATATCAATGATCATTTTATAAAAATAAATTATTAAAAAATAAGATGGAGAACAACAGAGGAAGACACTTGACATTGACTACTGGATTCATGTGCACACACACTCAAAACTGTAACAATTCTCAAAAAGACTTAGCACTTATATAGAAGTTTCTAGCGGCTGGAGACAATAGTATGCAAAACAGAGCACCAGAATTCTCTTTTGAGAAGACATCCGTTTTGTGTGAAGACATCCTTCCTAAGACCCAAATGCTGTTTAAAAAGAGGGCTTACACGGAACTGCTATCTTAGCTTCATGTATAACCTCAAAACCACCTGGATCACAGACGCCTCTGTGCTCATCTTCCACCCAGACCACAGGACCCTTTGTCAAACAGACAGCCTCAGAGTCTCCGAGGTGTTCTCCTTTAGCTGTGAGCAAGCAGGTACAAGAGCCAATTGGCTACTTTTAGTGTTAACAAGGAGATTGTGCAAGGCCATAGTCAAGCCACAGAGGACGACATAAAAACATCTTACTAGTTATCATGGCTTGCTTTTAGAAGGTTTGAGAAGGTAGACCAAAAGATTCTGTGCCCAGAAATGCAATGAATGCCCCAAACTAGCAAGCCCCATGTTTTCAGTGAGATATTCAAGCTAAACTGCTCTTTGGCATGTATGATGGTACATGTACTAAGACCGGAGAATGGCCTAGGTTCAGTTGAAGGTCTCTTTTTTTTAAGATTTATTTTTATTATATATGTTATACATATGCATGAATGTGTATATGTATGTATTCATCCATTTATGCATGCATGTTTGGGGTGAGTCATTGGCCATGTGCAGTACCTGAGGCAAGAGGTAGTGGACCTCTGGAGCAGGTGGTTGTAAGCCACCTGGTGCAGGTGCTGGGAATGGAAACTGACCTTTGCAAGAGCAGTACATGCTGTTGAGCACTGAGCCACCTCTCCTGCCATGAAAGTCTTTTTATGTGCTTGCTTGCTTGCTTGCTTGCTTGCTTTCCTTCCTTTCTTGTTTCTCAAAACAGTTTCTCTGTGTAACAGCTTTGGCTCTCCTGGAACTCATTCTGTAGACCAGGCTGGTCTCAATCTCAAATAGATTTGCCTGCCTCTGCCTCCCAAGTACTAGAATTAAAGGTATGTGCCACTACTGTCTGGCTTGTTTTGTTTTTCAAGGTAGGGTTTCTCTGTGTAGCTCTGGCTGTCCTGAAACTCACACTATAGACCAGGCTATCCAGGTTGAGATAGGAGGTATTTCAAATTTGAAGCTACTCTGCTACAATAGCAAAACCCTGGGTCAACTGCCCACTCCCTCAAAAATTCATTGAGTGAACCTAGAGGTATTTTATTAGATGCCTCATAGGAAAAGACTGTAGGCATACATGAGCTTTAGAATGTAAGGTGTACCAGGATCTAGGGTGATATTAAAAGCTCGTGAAAGCCCTTCTTCAACTCGAATTCCTCAGACAGAACCCAACCCTCTAACAAAGCCGTTCCTGCTTTCGTATCAGAGACACTGAAAACACTGCAATTAAGAAGCTTCACAATGCTTTCTAGCTGAGACTTATTTCTACTAGACTGAGCTCTGAGATGTGACTATTTTGTGTGCACAATGTATGCAGGTGTGTGGGTCTATGTGCCAGCGTGTCCATTGGGTGTCTTCACATTCAGTCACAGAACCTGGAACTCACTGAGTGGCTAGACTGGCCAATAGACATCAAGGATCTTCCTGCTTTCATTACCCCCTCATCAACTGCTGGGGTTACAGATGCAAGCCACCACTGCACCTAGCTTCATGTGGGTACTAGGGATCCAAACTCAGGTCCTCATGCTCCAGCAGCAAGCACTTTACCCCACTGAGTCATGTCCTGAGTCCCCAGAGATATAATCAGTGATGGGGCTAAGACCTGAACCCAAATCAGTGTTCTTTTGTATGTGTGAATGTGTTCGGTGGCCAGAGGACCTCACGTTTTTGGTTTTTCTAGACAGGGTTTCTTTGTGGGTTTGGAGCCTGTCCTGGAACTTGCTCTGGCCTTGAACTCAGAGATTACCTGTCCCTGCCTCCCAAGTGCTGGGATTAAAGGTATATGCCATGCCACCAGGCTTTTTATTTTGGAGACAGGCTAGCTTCAAACTATGTAGTTGAGGATAACCTTGAACTTGTCACTGCCTCCTTCCTAGTGCTGTATTATACTCATGCACTACCACACCTGGTGTATGAGCTGCTTAAACTGGAACTCAAGGACCTGTGCATACAGTGCAGGAACTCTGTCTTGAGATAATACACATCCTCAGCCCCCACACTCTCCCCCCTTTTTGGAGACAGGCTCTTTAACTGACCAGGAGCTTGTCAAATAAACCAGTATGATGTCAATGCTTTAAAATAGAGAGGGCAGGGGATAAAGCTCTAGTGGTAGCTTTGATTGTTATGTTAAAGACCTTGGGGTCAAAGTCTAGCACCATGACCATTTAAGTCCCCCTACTGAGCTGGGGGGGGGGCGGAGGGGTGGCACACATCTAGCACTGTACCTGTAAGATCAGAACTGAAATATCTTTATGGAAAAAATTCACTAAAAAACTGAACTGGGGCCAGGTAGTGGTGGCACATGCCTTTAATCCCAGCACTTGGGAGACAGAGGAAGGTGGATCTATGTGAGTTCCAGGCCAGCTTGGTCTACAGAGCAAGTGCCAGGGGTAGGCTCCAAAGCTACACAGAGAAACCCTGTTCAAGGGAGAGAGAGAGAAAAAAAAAAAAAAAAAAAAAAAAAAAAAAAAAAAACTGAACAGGGGCTGGAAAGATGTGTCAGTATTTAACAGCACTTGGCTCTGCCTGACATGGTGGCAAATGCCTTTAATTCCAGCACCTGGTAGGGAGAGGCAGGTGGTTCTCTATGAGTTGCAGGCCAGCCAAAGAAGCATAGAGAAAAGCACTTTCTATTTTTTGAGGGAACCCAGGTTCAATTACCGGTGCTCACATGGTGGCTCATCAAATCTGTAACTTCTGTTCCAGGCAATCTAATGCCTTCTTCTGACTTCTTCAGGCACCAGGAATACAAACAAACATGCAGACAAAGTATCCATACACATAAAAGTAAATAAATCTTAAAAAATATTAAAAATGAGCAGACACTGTGTACTAAAATTACTTTTATTACAGTTGATCTTTTAAACATTTCCTTTGCTATGATACAAAGGATACTTACAAACAAAATATTACATATGACCTGTTTTCGTTCTTAAGGTTCTGACAACTTGGTAACAGCTTTAAATGCACAATCTATACAATTAATACAGGTTATATACGAACTATAAGTATGCTGAACCAGAAGAATACTGACAATATACTGTACAATAAGCCTTACCAGTTAGTGCTGTGGACCATTCTACCAACAGGAAAATGCACACCTGCAGTCACCTTTGCCAGCTGGTGCTGACAGTGAGGGAGAGGCTTCTTCCTCATTGCAACCCTTGGTAAGCCTCCACTGTGGGCATCTGTCTAGTCTAAAATTGGAAAGGACTGGTTTTACTAAAAATTATCCACTGTTAAAAGTGTTAGGATCCTGTATGATAATCTCTTGTCCCCCCACCCCCAATCTATGCCAGTTTTAAAACGACCATAAGTCCTTTGTCCACTATGAAAACCCTACAGGCTCAAGGGCTTTAGGAAAAGATGAAGGCTGCCAAAAAAGAAGGCAAGAAAACAAGCCAAAATCTAGGTCTTGCAAAATCATCATTTTCCCCTTCACCAAAGGGAACTAGAAATGTACAAATTCATTGACGAACCTCAATGATAACATATCAGTTAGCTGATAACCCTCATTTATCAGGACCTGACTTGTGGGAATAACTGAAACAGACTGTGAATAACATGTTTTGTACAGAACATTTTGCTTAGTTAAAATATTCCCTTTAGCCACCAAAGCTGGTCCTGGGCTGACAGGTGTGCATTTCTCTCTCAATGGTCTACTCAGAAATGATAAGGTTACAGCTTTTTTTTTTTCTTTCTTTTTTTAAAAATTTAAATAAAAAAGCAATCGACTGAAGCATTGTCTTTTTTTTTTCCAGGTAAATAGCAAAAATAAAAATAAAAGCCAACCCTGGCATTTGCACAAATAAAGCAAATGGAATGCCATGGCCTTAAGAGGTTAGTAGAAAGACTGAAGTGAAGAAAATCCAGAGAAAAATCATGTATCAATTTCCTTCTTTTAAAAATTTCTACATGTGCAAAAAAAAAACCATGCTGTTTGAGGAAAACAAAAAAGAAATGAGTACATGAAACTAAACATATAAATAACGTCTAGATGATTCGGTAAAAGCAGAAACCAATCTGGGTTATAGAAGGGTTATACATTCAAGATGCTTTTAAACCCAGTGGGATAACTTATGTTAAAACTGTGTTAATAGTTAACTTTAAAAATCTCAAGTTTGTTCTTAAATCTTCACAATACAAGCAAAGCTGTTTAAAATATACACTATACATATTTCTCATAGTCTCTCCAACCTCATTAATGCGCATTAGGTTTTTTCATATACTAAAAGGAGGGGTTCTCAAAGCTAACTTGCTCATTATAACCTGCACTATTTAAATGTTTTATATGGGTTAAAAACCTTTTCAGACTTACATAAATAGGATTTAGCAACACAAGTGTTAATTTAAAAACTCTAAAGCATTTACAAATAGGTTGGAACAGCCTAGGGAAGTTATGTGCACTGTACTTTAAAATGTTATTTACATCAGATCATTATTTTTGTAAAAATTTCCCTAAAAAATTAAAAAAAAGAGAGAGAGAACCTATTCTAAACTAGCAGAAAAGAATCATAAAAGATAAACTAAGAACAAAATTATTTCCTAATGGAAACCCCACACATCCCTCTTCACTTGGATTTTACTCTATGGAACCACTGTGACTCCTAATAGGCTCTTCTATCAAGTGTCAAGCTAATGTGGTAAAAGTTTGTAGGTAACTTACTGGCCAAGTGGACTTGGAAAATAAAATGTTTCTTCACCTTGTTTCTGGCTTGGGTTATATGTGTATTTAAGTAGAGGGGCAATCTAAATAGGCACAATTCCCATTTAATGTGAATAAAAGACAAAATAAAATTGTTAGGAAGGGTGATGGTTTGAGAGAATGACGTGCAAGAAAGGACACCGCACATGTGGAATGAATGGGAAGCAAAGACAACAGCATGGCAATACCCCAGGGGCAGCCAAAGCCCTGATAAGCTGATCCAACTGTTTATGACCCCCAAACGCGCAAGAAGGACTCCATACCCACATTGTTACTGGAGATAGAGACCAACCAAACTGCAAACATTAGGCAGTTGCATCTTTCAAAATTACAGAATTTGCTTGATGACCATGTGAAATTTGTATTAACAATAATTTTCATGCCAAGGCAATGTATTTGTGGGCTAAGAAAAAGCAAAATGTGCCACTGAGAGAAACCTGTTTCCATATAACTGGTCTTCATGCTTTCAAGTGGCTCTAATATACCTTGGATACTAAGCCAAGCCATGCAAAAGCAAAGAGTACATACTTTTCATTAACATTGGTATCTCATTTCTAAACCACTGACTTCAAAGTTGCCATAGAAACATATAACACAATACTGAAAGCATACAATTGAGGGTTCATGGATTTTTAAGAAATGCATTTCCCTCATCTAAGTTCAACAGTCTTTAATATCTTAGCTACAAGGCATATCAGAGGAAGGGAGGTTAAGTGGGGGTAATGTCAAGGAACATACGGAATTCTGGAAGTAGGAAAAATGTTCCAGAAATGGGATCAATGTGCCAGCAATAAACATAGTTCATTTCATTTTAAAATTCAGTTAAAAGAGCCCATAAACAGTCCCAAACCATAGTTATCACCTGCATAATTTACATAAACATTAACACACTTGCACTTTATAGACAAAACACTCTGTAAACATGGCCACTGGGGGTGGGAGACTCCCTACACCTCACTCATGACTGAAGACATGTAATCATCATATTAAATAAAATTACTTAGTTTCAAAAGATTTCAAACCTGACCAATGATTAAGCTCCATTTCTCCCTGTTTAACAACATTTAAGCATTAATTCTAAAAATGTCATCTAGGATGATTTCAGGGTTATATGCTAGAACCACAACTAGCAATGACAGTAACTCCTCTCTAGCTGGCACAGACCTATAAACTTTAGTACAAAACCAAAACAAACAAACAAAAAAATACAGAAACTAGGTCAATTTGTTAGCTACATATTTACAGATAATTACATGATTTTTCACTCATAATTATTAAACTACAAGTGAAAGGAAACTGTGCAGGTTGAATTACCCGTACTTATTTTTTTTTGGGGGGGGATTCTTGAGTATCAAGATACCCTTTTTCATTCATTGAGAAGTCTTTACCTTCTCTCCACATTCCCAACTACCTACAGATGTAAAAAGTATTATATCCAATGGGCATCAGCTGGAGAGGGTTAACCATTTCCTCTGTTTAAATAAGAACCCCTTGTATATTTAAAAGCAAAGCAAAGCAAAACCCCCAATACATTATCACACACACACACACACACACACACACACACACACACACACACACACACACACAGTCTCTCTCTCTCACACACTCTCACACACAGAGTTTGGATCGCTGGAAACAGTTAACAGATATGGTGACATAGTACATGGCTCCCCAGTTTGTGTTCTGTTTCTATTTAAGATACTTATTTTTGCATGGATGGGCGGTGCAAGTTTCAGAAGCCTGTAACAGGCAGATATGGTGCATATTTCTTATATTTATGATCTGAAGGCCAGCACTTGTTTGAATAAAACTTGGGAAATCTGAATATAATTAAACAGGAAAAAAAAGTCAATACAACTTTAAAAGTGGGCTACCAGATTTCAGCAGAAAATATAAATGCACAAAAAGGAAGAATTCTCATGTTCACTTTCTTTTTCTACAGTGTTTAATAAAAATTTCTTTACAAATTAATATTTCCAACGTAGATCTACTGTAGTGATTTCATAAAAGTGCAGACAACATAACCAGACAGCAAAACAGACTTCAATCAGTAGTCCTTGCATACAAGAGGCACGTATGCTGAGTGTACAGCACACTCTTCATCCTTTAAGGAATCCGAGGGTGGGAATTTCCAGTTCTTAACTAAGGGTGAGTGCCTTTTAAAAGGCGATGCTAAACCAGGGAAGGGAGACTTCTGTAACGGGGACAAAACAAAACAGAATGTGTTTATCTTAAATAATGACCTGTATTTTGATAAGCAGCTCAATGATGATGGCCCAAATTTTGACTTTGCTCCTTAGAGAAGGCTCTAAGTAAGAAGTGAGAATTTTTCATCATTATAGCAGATTCATGCTTAGTATAGCTTAAATATATTATCTTTCTGACTTTAATACACATTAGGACACTTCACATTCTGAATATGAGTCAAATGCAGAACTATAAAACTTCCAAAAGAAAGGGTTGCTGTGGTTGAGCATGGTGGGTCACAACTGTAATCCCACTACTTGGGAGGCTGGGACAGGAGTGCTAGGAATTTGAGGCCAGCCTTGGGTAAACATCAATTACCAGACAAGAAAGGGTTACATACCAAGACCCTGTCTCAAAAGAAAAGAAGCAAAACTAAGAAAGGGGTGTTGTGTTGGACTAAATCTCAGCTTGAGTAGTAGTGGCTCAGAAGGGGTGGAAGGTGCATAAAGAACTTACTATTAGCAAGCAAGAATAGTAAGTTAAAAGGAGACAGCCCTTCAAACCAGTATCATGCCTTCTTTCCCAGTGACCATCTCCTATGATTTTACAGTTTAGGAGAACTTTAGATATGTTTTAGTAGTAATTTCTTTCTTGGCAGTTTTGATCCTCAGCAAAATACACAACTATTAGTGTTGAAAGTAAAAGTGAACAAGAGAGGATCATCGCATCAACACTAAGAAATCAAAAAAGTCCATTAAGAATGTGACTCATTGGCTTTTTACCTTTGCAGAAAATCACCACCAGTGTTCTTTGCACAGTTCAGTTTTCTCCTGCTCACGTTTTATTGCATTGTAAAACAAACTCAAACACCAACTGGCTCCTTCCCTATCACATTTTTACTATACTGTAATTTATGGTTTCGTTTTACTTAACTTTCTCCTCACTCATACAAGCGTTAAGGAATTAAAAAGAAAAGAGACTGCATCTACTAACACCTTCTCATAAATATCAGCCCAGAGTACTCTTTAAAAACACACATCCTTGCCTTAACAAAGGGTAAAGAAGTAAAAAACAATAACAAAACTCAAAACCGAGCCCTGGCAGACATGTATAGAATGAGTTATATCCATCCATCTATACACACAAATAGACATATATATATATATATATATATTACACAATATACACATAAAAATGAAAATAGCTATACCAAAAATGTGCATATGTAACAGTTTCAAAAAGCCAGTAGATCATGGTATAATACAATTTATTTCCACTTATAAATGGCACAAATGGAGAAATGCAAAGATGTTCAAGTACAATGAAGTCATTTTTATAGGTGAAAATAAATCATATTATTCCAGTGTCCAAAACAATGTATTCTATATGTTCAAAATGCTAGACATTTACAGAAGCACAAAATTACTAAATTCTGCCTTAAGATCTGGGGAAAAAAAAAAAAAAAGATGTACACAAAAAGTTGTTAGCAGGATGGAATCTCCAGGACAGTTTCTTTAGTGTTTTGAATGTTATTTACTTGATGTCCAGGCAGTCAAAAAATCATGACTATGTACGAAGTTCCACTTTACTGGATAGGCCTCGACTTGAGACTAAGTGTGTGTCTCCTGTGGGTGTGACTTCTCGTTCAGGACTATTCATGTCTAGTTATGGAAATGAGTAAAAGGACAGGAGCGCTATAAAAATAAACACGCTTTCAGCTAGCATTGCTACACAGTGCAAACACTCTCTGATGTCACAATTTAGGGTTAGAGTTAAGTTTAAAAGTTATGTGCAAAGGTGGGGAATTTAATTAGGAATAAAATGTCTCAATATATGAGGCTTTCTTTGCATTTTTAAAATGCTGACCCAAAAGAGGAGAACAAGAAACATTTCTCTGTCAGGCTCTGAATACCATATATAGATCAGTAACTTCTGGTGTGCTACACATGTTCTCCACGTTTTTTCACTTTTGGTGCTGTTTATTTGGCCAAATGTTGACATTTTCATTTTTTTCTCCCAGAAACTACTTGCCCTGTCTTCGGGGCATTTCAAACCCTTTCAAATTTTCCTGTTACCAGTTTTTACTGTGACAAAAACCCTGCCATGTACATGATTCCTCAGAAGTTATAGCTTTACAAACACATAACCCTCATCATTTTCATCATTTGGAAAACCACATGGATTTTAACTAAATTGATGGTGTAATCCTGGCCTACATGAGGAAGCTAGGTGCCACACAATTAGCTGAGGCAGAAATCCCTATTGGAGACAACACAGTCAGTAGGAAATCACACTAATATGAGCACATTATGACCAAAGTGGACTTGGCAACTCAATCTGACCAAGTGAAACTCACAGCTGTACTATAAAATGTATCTCTGGTAGTAGTTTGGAGTCTGAATTTTTAAAATTCACATCTGACCTGCTTTCCCATTCTGACCCTCCAGTAGCAGATAGGGGCCAGATTCATGAAGAATGGTTTTTAATGGTTTTATAAGACCATCTTGTAAAAGATGGTCTTTTTATTTTTTGTTTTTTCAAGACAGGGTTTCTCTGTCTAACAGTCTTAGCTCTCCTGGAACTAGCTCTCTGTAAACCAGGCTCTGCCTCTGCCTCTGCCTCCTGGGATTAAAGGTGTGTGCCACCAGCATGGCCACACTGCAAAAGATGGTCTTTTATAGTTGTGAACAGCCTATTAAATCTAAAGCTTTCCCTTAATTTCTCCAAATATATAGAACTCTCAATTTGTTTGAAACTCTTGAATAGTATTTTGAATACAAAAAAAGACAGAAAACTAAAAGAAAAGTCCTTTTTATTAGCTGTAAGTATGTTTACCTAAAAACTGATGTTGAACATGTTTAAAAATGTGTGTGAACTCTGCCATCAACCTTCTATTGGTTTTCAAAGGATCTATATTATAGCATCTTTCTTCCCTTTGTGAGACTGCTGAAGGCAGCCTTGAACCCCAGACTGCTACCTCCCAGGTGCTGGGATTATAAGCATGTGCTACCATACCCTGATCTAATTTTTCTGTTAATTAGTGTCAGAAACTCTCAAACCAAAGTTAGAAATTCCTTAAGGAGGTAAGTCATGGAGATTGGAATGACATACCTGGACAAGTCTTAAGATGTGGTTAAGAAAACGAAGAACTTCAATAGTAGCAGATGACAATTCGGTCACTAGTTTGGTTTAAGTATGATTAAGTGTGTTCTTGCCATCTAATTACATGAAAAACAGGAACCAGAGTCAGCAGCAAGCGCTCTTCAAGACAACTGAAAAGGGAGCAGGATAGTAACTTTTAAGAAACCCTCGTCTGTCACTAAAAATGGCATTACCTCTTACCTACCTCCAACTCAAGCTCTACACAAGCAACCAGAGGATTCTAACTAGCACTGACGTACAACACTGGATTGATCCTTCATTGAAAAAAGACAGAACACACTCCCCAGTTAGTGTTCCCTGACCACTATATAACTTATTTTTAATTTCTGCTGTTTTCTTTCACTCACCAAACTAACTTAAGTTTGTTTCTCAGTAGTATTTTAGCACTAAGCTAGAGACTGCTGAAAGGGGACTTGCTATTATGTGATATAACATGGACTAAGATGGTCACTAAGTATCAGTGAACTAAAAGTCTGTAAGGTACTGCAGCAACAAAAACACGACTAAACACAGAGATGAAGCAACATCTACAGTGTGAAGATTAGTCAGCAGCTGATAGTCACTGATTTAGTGACTCCTGGTGGCAACTAAGTATTTAAAGAATTGACTATTGCTACTTGTAAACAGGAAATCCCATAAGCCAAAAAGGGAGATAATAAAATTATGTCTGTGTAGTGTGATGAGTATTCTAATAGATGGCAGTTCACAAATATGGCATCATTCAAATACCTCCGGCATTTGCTTCGTGCTGGCTAAGTGTCTTTGTTTTTGTAAAAACAAAGCAAATGTACTGTCTGGGGTCTTACAGTTTGGGTAGCATGAGATATCATTGCACAAGAAACAAAATGTCAGGATATATAAGCTTTATCTCCTCGTTCCATGCTGAAAATGTATCTATCACAGGAACCTTCAGGGCCCACTAGCCCACTGGATTTTCCCTCTGATAGCTCACACGTTTGTTAGTGCAAACCCCACACAGCTTATGATCTTCATCTTACAACGACACAACCTACAAAATCAGCAACAAACTTCTGAAGCACTTAGCAAAGAACTAAATGATTTTCTACCACCTGAAAAGGTAAATACAATCTTTTAATGTTCATGGTTTTCTGCTTTTTAGTCCAAATGAGGTTGAGAAGTCAGACCAATTTCACAAAGAAAGGATATACACTGGTAAGGAGTGGAGGTATGTTTCAGTAAGAAGGTGTTTCAGTATAGATGCTGCCTGCTGTCAGTGACTCGAAGAATTTGGAATATGGAAGAAGGCATTATATCTTCCAATAACCCTTTGAGGCTATGGACATCCTAAAGTGATGATTCAGGCCAGTTTGGTTCATTTTATTTTTACATTGTTCAGATAAAACTCCTTCTATTAAGCCAATTTCTTTTTGCCACACATATGAAATTATTTATCTATTCCCACTTTTAAAATTTTCCAAAAGTCAAAAACAAAAGAACAAAAAGCCAACCACAAAAACCCGGCAGCCAAATACTATGACATCCCAATTAGTAAACACAAAACATAACGCTTTACAAAAACGAATAAAATATACCATATGCACTCAGCTTCCACACGGTAGTACCCAAGTGAGGAGGCTGCTGTGATGATGTCTGTAGGCAGTTTCTTTTGGCAGACAGCTCCAGCAGAATTGCCACTTTCAATTACTATGTGTAAGACATGTGTGACCCATTGGATATTTGTGAAGTGACACTCGTGCTTCTGCTCATGCCCTGTTCCGTCCGTCCCCCAGAAGCTGTCCGCCTCAGAGCCTGGGGGCTATTGCGGACTCCCATACTGCTACCTCGAGGGACCCCTTGCATTGGCCCTGAGGGATGACCCCATGGCTGGGGTCCACCTTGCATTGGATGGCCCCAACCTTGTGGTGTGCCACCCATGGGATGACCCCACTGAGGTCCTGGACCCCCAGTAGGATTGTGAGACCAACTAGAAGCTCCTGGGTAGCTGTGGCTGAATGCCTCAGGGGAGAGGTTAGAAAGAACCATGTTACTAAAACCTAGTCTCATGCTTTCAGAGTCAAAAGCTTCAATTTCTCTGGCTTGACGCTCGAGCAGGCTACGTATTCTTTCTGTGCGTTCATTCTGCAAAGCCAACATCTCTTCTTCAATCTGCCAGGGTAGGAAAAGGGAGTGAAAAGATCAATTTATGTTTCAGATCTATAAGCTAAAGCAGTAATAACTACTAAAAACATTCAACAGCTATTTTACGGATATATACTGAAAATTATTTAAAAGACATGCTGGGGGTGGAGGGGGGGTGGAGAGATGGCTCAGAGGTTAAGAGCACTGACTGCTTTTCCAGAGGACCCCAGTTCAATTCCCAGCAACCACATGGTGGCTCACAACCATCTGTAATGAGATCTGGTACCCTCTTCTGGTGTGCAAGCATGCATGCAGATAACTATATACTTAATAAATAAAATCTTTGGGGAAAAAAAAAAAGACATGCTGGGTTTAAAGGTGTGTGCCACCACTGTCGAATCTACCCTTTTATAGAGAAAGTACAGTTTTGAAAAACACTTTACTCCTAAATGCAAACAGGATTTGAGACAGGATCTCACTGTGTAGCCTTAGCAGGCCTGGAACTCAATTGTAGATCAGATTGGCCTTGAGCTCACAATCTACCTGACCCTGCCTCTAGAGTGCCCAGCCAAGTTATACTTTTTGATCTAATGTCAATTATGGTTAACAAAATAACCATTTCATTGAGATACTAGTATCACAATGAAATTTGTGGTAACAAGTTTTTAGTTTGTATCTAAATTTCTTCTATTATGTCAAAAGTCTTGTTTTATAATTTGTTTATTTGGATTCAGGCCAAGCTAAAACAAAAACCATACATTTTTTGTTATTTAAGTTTTGTTTTAGTCTAAGGTGGAGACCAGGCTGGCCTCAAACTCACAGAGATCCACCTGCCTCTGCCTCCCGAGTGCTGGGATTTAAGGTGTGTGCCACCAACACTTGGCTGACTAATTACATCTTGATGTCATCATTTAATATTTTCTCCTGTACTTTATTTGGTATTTTATATAAACTGGTAGATACATAGGGATGTTTATATTTAGGTTAAATAAAGATTGGCAGATTAACTGGTCATTTATTAATATAAATGACCTACACTCATGATCTTGCATCAGTCAGAATTCTCTGTGCTGGAGGACAGAGAATTTTTTGTCTTAAAACAAATCCAACTATACAAGAACCGGATTCAGCAAGGTAACTTCACCATGGTGTACCATCTCACCAGCTTTCTTCAAAGAAAGCAAAAGAACTTGGGTTGGGAATGGATGAAGTCAGTACTGATGATTGAACCCCAGGTCTCCAGCATGCTAGGAAAACACTACCACCTAGCTACTACGTTCTACATCACATAAGATGTGTGTTTGTTCAAACAACCCTTTTTTTTTCTCTTTTCGAGATAAGGTTTCTCTATAGCTTTGGAGCCTATCCTGGAACTCTCTCTGTAGACCAGGCTGGCCTCGAACTCATAGAGATCCATCTGCCTCTGCCTCCCGAGTGCTGGGATTAAAGGCGTGCGCCACCAACACACGGCTCAATCAGCCCATTCTTTATGTAGCTCAAGCTATGCTGGAATATTGGATCCTCCTGCCTCAGCCACCATACATTTTAAATTATTTTTATTTATGTATGTATATATGGTTATTTTGTTTACAACATGTGTGTGCCTGCTACTCATGGACAAAAGAAACCAGTGTCAGATCCTCTGAAACTGGAGTTACAAGTGTTTATGAGCCACTATAAGGGTGGTGGAAATTGAACCAGTGCTCATAACCACTAAGCCATCTCCAGCCCCATCTTCTGAGTAACAACAGTATTAGTCAGTAGATCCTGACTGTCAACTAATCATGCATCAGAAAGTTTTCTGTCTACTTTTTAAATTGACTTCATTGTTGGGCTTGGTGATGTGCACTTGTTATCCCAGCATCCAGGAAGCTTTTCATCTAGACGTAAGAGTTGAAAAAAAGACTTCATAAATTTTGAAGAACTGGGGTTGGGAGTGTTGCTCAGTCATAGAGCATGTGCTGAGTATGTTCTAAGTCCTGCATCAAAAAGAGGAAAGGGAGGGGAGAAAAGGAAGAAGAGGGATAGCAGAGGAGGTGGGTGACAGTTGTGGGTCCTGGGGATCAAACTCAGCTTGTCAGGCTTAAAAGGAAATGCCTCTACCTGCTCAGCTGAATCATCAGCCCAATTTTTATTTACTTATTTAAGCCCCAACCCTGAGACAGGGTTTCTCTATATACCCTAGGCTGTCCGGAAACTAGTAATGTAGACCAGGCTAATCTCAAACTCACATAGATCTGCCTGCCTCTGCCTACCAAGCATTGGGATTAAAGGTGTGTGCAGCTGCCACCACCACCCAGCTTCAGCTTTTATTTTTTAAGACCGGGTCATGCTAAGTTGCTCATTATGGCTTTGAACATGCACTTCTCTTGCCTTTGCCTCCCTAGTAGTTGAGATTGTAAGTCTGTAACCCCAGGCTTAACTAAAACACACACACACACACACACACAAAAAAAAAAAAAAAAAAAAAAAAAAACTAAGTAAGGCATTCTATTTTTATTACTCAAGAACTTTGGAACATATCACTGAATTCGGTTTATAAATAACTACCATTTCTCATGATGAACGCTTTTTCAAACTTCTCAAACATTTTTGCTACTATCATTTTAACAAATCAATCTTTCTCAGAGAGGAACACACATACACCTTAGTACTCTGGATGACAAATTAATTTCAGGATTCTAGATCTATTCGCTAATATATCTGACAAAGAATAAATCAGAAAAAGTAGTAAAGATATTGATAACATGGTGCTGCATGCCTGTAATCCCAACCCTATGGTGGAAACAACCCTGAAAAGATTTTCACACTAACCTTGACTACCTGGTGAGTTCAAGGCTAACCTTGGATATTTGGTGAGTTAGTGTCAACTTAAACTATTAAGAATTGTCTCTATCCCCTCCACCCCAAAACTCTCCAAACAGTAATGATGAATCTAGATGTATAAAATGCGTGACTTTCAGCTTGTGGAACAGGTTTTAACTTCTGTTCCTCTGTAATCTTGCACAATCTGCATAGTTTCAGACCAAAGAAATATGAGTGAAGAATATATTCATGGTTTTCTCTATCTTGGTCAATCACTGCAATTCTGTTCTTCACTATATAAGTCTTTCTGCAATCTCCTTAGGTAGAGTGAGGCAGACAAAGAAGTAAGCCACCTTTGCTCCTCTAAAAATTTTATGGTCTTCGCATAGTTTTATATCCTTTTTGTTTGTAGGTCTCATGTAGTCCAGGTTTGCCTCAAACTTGTTATGTAGACAAAGATGATCTTGAACTCCTATCCTCTTGCCTCCATATCTGAGGGGCTGAGATTATAGATATGTGCCACCATGCGTAGTCCATTTTTTGTGTGTTTTATTGTTTTGGGAACTTCAGGCCTTGATCAAGTCCTTGCACTGTGGGTATAGCCACTACTTCCTTATTTTCAGCTTCTCCTTGGGCTCAGTGGCACATGGTTCATTATTTTCTTGGGCCATAGGCCCATGAGTCTGTATTTCTTGCCCCTGTAGAATTTTCTGTGGTTTTCTTTATGAGTCTGGTTAACAATGGTGAGGACATAAATGAAGAATTTGTGGACAAGTCAGATCTTTGAGAGTTTGAAGGTGCATGAAAACTTTGGGATTTGAGACAGCTCCACCTTCAGATCATTGAGTTGTTTCAAGCAGCTCCTTTGTATCTCTAAAGTACCAAGTCTTAGTCTTCTCATGGCTCATAATCTTTACCCATTAATTATATTCTATGGTGATATTTTGTTTATGATCTCACAAATAAAGCTTGCCTGAAGATTAGAGTGCAAAGCTAGCCATACTAGTTAGCCATAGAGGCCAGGCAGTGATGGTATACATGTTTAATTCCAGCACTCAAGAGACAGAGGCAGACAGATCTCGGTTAGTTCAAGGAAACCCTGAGCTACTCTGAGATTGATCCAATCTAAAAGAAAGACAGAGCTCACACAAAGGTGACCTCAGCACTTGGGATCCCATGCCTTTAATCCCAACACTAGAGAGGAATATAAGATGAGAGGAGTCAGGAGCTCAGGCAGAAGGAGATTTGGTGGAGACAGATGTGGTCTGGAGATGCATTCTGAGCATTGGTAGAATGAGAACTCTCTAGCAGCTAGATGTTTGCTTCTTTAATCTTTAGGCAAGCTTTATTTGTTAGATCATAAACAAAATATTGCCACAATATTCCTTTGAGTTTCAGAACTCATTTAGAGTTCACCCATTGAATTGGGTGTAGTGGCACATGACTTTAGTCCCAGCACCCAGGAGGCAGAAGCAGGTGGTTCTCTGTGAATTCAAGACCAGTCCTGTCTACATAGTGAGTTCCAAGACAGCCAGAGTTACAAAGTGAAATGTTGCTCAAAAACAAAACAAACAATAAATAATAAAAGTTCATTATTGAATACTTAATCTACCAAACTAGAATTAATGAAAGACAGTATGCAACCTCTGTTGATATTAGTAGAGTTCTTGTCTTGCAAGCGGAAGGCCTTAGGCTCATTTAATCAGTCCAAAAGAATTCAAATAAAAGCTGTGAATCTGGGTATGGTGGTGCAAATTTTTAATCCCAACACCAGTAGAGGCAGGGAAAGCTCTATGAGTTCAAAGCCAACCTGGTTTGCCTAGCAAATTCAAGGGCCACTAGGGCTATGGAGTGAGACCAAGCCTCAAAAAGAAACAAGAACTATGGAGATAGCTCAGTAGGTAAAAGTATTTGACATGCAAGCAGGAGGACCTGAGTCTAGATCCCCCGAACCCATGTAAAAGCTAGCTACAGCCAGGTAATGTTGTACTTTCTTTCTCTGTGATTTTTAAAGCTAGCCTGGTCTACACAGAGTTACAGGCCAGTCACGGCTACACAATGAAACTTTATCTCAAAAATAGAGCCGGGCGTTGGTGGCGCACGCCTTTAATCCCAGCACTTGGGAGGCAGAGGCAGGTGGATCTCTGTGAGTTTGAGGCCAGTCTGGTCTACAGAGTGAGTGCCAGGACAGGACAGGCTCCAAAGCAATGCAGAGAAATCCTGTCGAGAGAGAGAGAGAGAGAGAGAGAGAGAGAGAGAGAGAGAGAGAGAGAGAGAGAGAGACAAAGCAAAGTGTGAAAGATATACCTATAATTCCACCATGTTTGTGGTGAAAGGAAAGTGGACAGAAGAGCCCCAGAAACTTGTGGACTAGCTACCACAAACAAGGTGGAAAGTGAAGAATGACACTTGGCACTGCTCTCTGACTTCCACACATGCCGTGGCACAGAAGCCTGCACTCACACACAAATATGTGCATGCACACTAAGACAATACATCATACATATACACTGAAAGAAAATAAAAACACACGCCCGCCCATCCCCAAGTTTGTGGGCACACACATATATATTTAGTTCTTTTGATAAAAACAAATACTAGAACAGTTCTCTTTCTTTTGTTATCTATACCTTTTGTTCTAAGAGTGCCCTGCGAAGGGAGACCCTCTGTTCCAGCTCTCGAAGCTCTCGATCATGTTGGGCCTCAGCCTGCATCTTGATTTTGCTCTGATATGCATTCAATAGCTCCAGTTCCTGCTGCAGCTGCATCTTCAAAACCTGGCATTCTGCTTCCTGTGCTTCATCCAAACGCAGCTGAGAAAGAAGAGAAACTGATATATTCTACTGTGAACTATCCATTCATAACTTACAGAAAAGAAAAGCAAGAGAAGACACACTACATTTTTGTAAGCTACATAACTGTTCTTTCTTGTAGCGTGGTGTAGACATCCCTGAAAAAGAAAGACAATAACCAATACTGCATGACAGAAGATATTGTAAGCTGCTCTGAAGATGCTTGAGTAACTATACTTTTTCTTAAGAAAAATCTGGAATATGATTGGGTAATATAAAGTGCTCACTCTCTCCTTCCCTAGTAGAAATCAAAGTCAATAAGCATAGCACACAAGCCAGATCTAGGTAACTGCTTGTTTACCTTAGTTCAGTCCTATAGTTAAAACGGTTTTACATTTTGACATGGTTACAGAATATCGTCACTTTTAACTCCTGGTCTGCAAAGTCTAAAATATTGATTATGTGGTCCTTTAAGAAAACACTTGCGGGCTTCTTTCTTTCTGTGCTGATATCGCTGCCACCAATATGGTGAACGTCCCTAAGACCCGCCGGACGTTCTGCAAGAAATGCAGCAAGCACCAGCCCCATAAAGTGACACAGTACAAGAAGAGCAAGGACTCTTTGTATGCCCAGGGAAAGCGGTGTTATGACAGGAAACAGAGTGGCTATGGTGGGCAGACTAAGCCTACTTTCTGGGGGAAAAAAAAAAAGGCTAAAACTCCATGGAAAATTGTGTTCAGGCTTGAGTGTGTTGAGCCCAACTGCAGATCTAAGAGGATGCTGGCTATTAAGAAATGCAAGCATTTTGAGCTGGGAGGCAAAAAGAAGAGAAAGGGCCAAGTGATCCAGTTCAAAGCTGCTCTTGTTATGGAGACAATAAAATCACAATAAAAGAAACTAAAAAGAAAAGAAAAGAAAGAAAAGAAAACACTTGCGGCTGGACCGTGGTGGTGCACGCCTTTAGTCCCAGCACTCGGGAGGCAGAGGCAGGTGGATCTCTATGAGGTCGAGACCAGCTTGGGCTACAAGAGCTAGTTCCAGGACAGCCTCCAAAGCCACAGAGAAACCCAGTCTCGAAAAACCAATAAATAAATAAATAAATAAATAAGTAAATAAATAAATAAAAAAACAACCACTTGCACAATATTTCATCCACGTGCTCCTATACACAGAAGATTCCTATACACAGAAGTATGTTTTGCCTACAGTTTACTCATCTGATCTAGATAAGCTGCTGAAAGCCATATCTGCAGGGAGCCTTTATAGGATCTTATTTCTTTTTTTTTTCCTTTTCCCCTTTCTTTCTTTTTTTTCTTTCTTTCTTTTTTTTTAGGATCTTATTTCTTAATGTATCTATATACACCATGCTTTTTCCAAGCAATGTTGAGAATAGGAAGAATACAGATGACCACTATTTTTCCCTGGGCTATTAAAGAACTATTGTTGCCAATTTATCTTTTTATTGCTAAGGTTTCATTTAGGAGATAGAAAGAAAGGATTCCTAATTTGTTTTGCCTATACAAAGCAAACTCACAGCTTGTGTGGAAAGCATTTCATTAATGCTATGATCATACTGCTCAGCCAAGATGGCTAACTTCCGAGTCTGTTCCTCCTTGAGTCTTTTCAGAACAGCTTTGTGCTCACTCTTTGGTGTAGTCTCCAGTAGGTGGTTTCTTAATGCTTTGTACTGTCTGGTTTGAATTTTGCATGTGTCCTGAAATTGCTTTTTTATCTGGAGTTCTTTAGACTGAAAAGAAAAGAAAAAAAAATATGTGTGTATACATATAAGGGGGGGGTGAAGTATGTCTCAACATATCGCATTTGGCATAGTGTATACTTACTTACATATATATATATATAATCAGGAAGAAAATAGAGAACCAGAAAGTCATGATAAGACTGCAGATATCTTTTACACTTGGCAAATATTCATGTCATAAACCTAAATTTCATCTCATAAAAAAATTATGGTAGTTATAAATGCAGCGAGGAAGAACTTTACCAGATATCTAAGGCAGAAAATAAAAACATGTTTCTTTGTTCATTTAGAATGTTCCACACGAGTTTCTTTTCTTTCCACAGTAATCTCAACAATAATCTCAACTTTAACCACAATCTATAACAGATCCTACTTTCTGTGGAAAATATGCACCAAACTTTAGATTGATTTTGAAATGTACAATAATAAATGATTACTACAACTACCTTTTCTTTAAGACAAAAAGCTGGACAGAATCATTCTAGATAGAACCACTCCAAGCCCCAGCCTTTGACCAAGTTGTCCTTGAAGTCCTCCTGCTTCAATGTGCTTCAACCTGCTCAGGGCTGGAACTACAGGGTGCATGTGCCACGTGCAGGAATGGCTTACTTTATGCTTTTCTATATTTATTTATTTGTTTTTGGTTTAATGAGACAGGGCTTCTCTGTATAACTTTGGCTGTTCAAGAACTCACTCTGTAAACCAGGTTGGTCTTGAACTCTGAGATTCACCTGCCTCTGCCTCCTAAGGCTGGTATTGAAGGCAAAGTATAATTGAAAAGTTAATGCCTCAACTTCCACATTACACCATTAATATAAATATTTCTGTATTTATCACCAACTGAGGAACCCATGTCCTAGTCATCTGCTAGGACTCATATATGAAGAAGGATAAAAAAATGTAAAGTTATGCTTAGTTTCATTGCTCTTATTATACTGGTTTGGTGTGGTTTGTGACAAGGTCTCACCATCTAACTCTGGCTGGCTTAGAACTTGATATAACCACATTGCCTCTGCTTTCAGAGTGTTGGGACTAAACAGTCACCACACTCAGCTTAAATACTGTTCTTGATCAACATTCTACCAAGTACTTCTAGACAAGGAATAAAATAATGAAATTTAGACATTCTCTTCAACCTCTGTGTTAAGTCTCTTCTTCAAAATGGTAATCATCTCTTAACATGCCGGGGAGGGGGGCTGTGCTCCTTAAAATTTTATCATAAAAAAATTAAATCATGTTTGGCATGCATTATAATACCAGTCCTTGGGATGCTGAGGTAGGAAGATTAAGGCCCTTATGGACTCCATAGAGAGACTGCGGCAAAAACAAGAGGAAGAGCCAGATTTGGCACATGCCTATAATCCTAGTACTTGGGAAATGTTAAGAGGAGTAGGAGTTAAGGTTATCCACAGCTACTCAGTGATTTTTGCAACCAGCCTGGACTATGAGACTGTGCCTCAAAAAGCAAAAAACTGATACAAAATTAAATATCCCCACCTAGGTGGGGACAAAAAGAAAAGAAAAAGAAAAAGTCAGGGCAGCCTTAAGAGCACTGAGTACTCTTTCAGAGAGCTGGGTTCAGTTCCCAGCACTCATGTGGCAGCTCGAAACCACATGTACATCTAGTTTCAGATGGTCAAGGCCCTTTGCTAGTCTCTGAGGTGACACAACACATACATACATGTAGGCCAACATTCACATACATAAAACAGAAAAAAAAAAATCAAAGTGAAACCAAAGCCCTAGAGAAATATTAACAATCAGACCAAGAATAAACTACATGTGGATTCAACAGAAAATGAAATAGAAAGTTGGGTGGTGGTGGCACATGCCTTTAATCCCAGCACTTGGCAGGCAGAGGCAACTGGAACTCTGAGTTCAGAGCCAGCTTGGTTTACAGAGTGAGTTCTAGGAAAGCCAAGGCTACACAGAGAAACCATGTTTCAAAAAACTCACAGGAAAGTGAGATGGATTCAAATTATAATTATTACCTGGAAAGAAGGTTGAAGAAATAGAAGAGGCAGTAGTTTATATCTAATCCATTCCACAGAAACAGCACCCTTCTCTCACAAATCCTAGTCAATTGAAGTCTCTCTTCTAGCTCAGCATCTCACAGAAAACTACAGGTGGCATACACAGACACTTATTGGGATGTGTTGGTGGTAAACCAAACATTTTGTTGAAACTGACTGTGTAAGTGAAAGAAACACAAGAGGAATTTTTCTTCCATCCTTATGTTCATTTATCATTAGAGGAGGGTATTCTATTCTGGGTAGTGGTGGTGCAAGGAGGAAGAGACAGGAGGATGTCTGTGAGTTCAGGCCAGCCTGGTCCACAGAGTGAGTTCCAGGACAGGCTCCAAAAGCTACAGAGAAACCCTGTCTCGAAGTAAACAAACAAACAAAAAACAAAACAAGGAAGAGAGCATTCTACTTAGTGTCTGAAATAAGATGCTAAAACATTTTCCTCACTTTCATGTAATGCCCGAGACAATCAGATTACTTTTTAAAAAGCTCTCAAGCTAAAAAGGTTATAGGAAGAGTTTAAGTCGAACTAAGCCATAGGAAAATGTAGTCACCAGAATTACATGACTACAGAAAACAAATTAGTGTCAGTTGAATTAGTGTCAGTTTGGTTCATTTTTGGGTACTGTTGGTTTTAAAGCTACAATTGAAAAAATATACTGATTTAAAAAGTCTTTGGTGGGGTTTAGGAATGTAGCTCACTTAGTAGAGTAGTTGCCCAGCATGTATAAAGCGCTGGGTCAGTCCTCAGCACTTCATAACATGGGAGCACACCCCAGCACTCCCATCACTCAGGTTTAGACAGAATTCAAGGCCATCTCTGGATGCTTAATGACCCAGCCTACACTATATGAGACCCTCATCTTGAAAAAATGGCCAAAAAAAAAAAAGGAGTGGGAAGGAAAAAAAAAAAAAAACTTTGGTTGTCGAGTATCTGAACTAAAGCTACATGATTCTCTCTTACTACATAAACAAGTCTGAAAAGTTATTATGAATTCCATGTTTTTTAAACATTGGTAATCAACGTAACTACTCTGTAAATGCTTCAGTCTTCTGAGTCCTGGATTACAGGGGTGCCATACTCAGTAGAAAAAGAATCTTTCAACAGAAAATACTTTGTGATTCCAGCGCTTACTGAACATTAACAGAGAATTTAAATGTGCAAACAAGTACAGATTAAGTGAACTGCTATCTCTAGTGAAAACCTTACAGTGAGTGCTTTCTGTTTGTAGTTTTTAAAAGACTGATTCAATGACTTCAAATATTTTCATTATAATATAAAATCTGAAAAATTCCTTAGAACTGTGAAGTTCCATTTGAGGGGGACAGTTTAGTTAGCTAAATGTTTTATTTATTTATTTTTTTCCTGGTGTTTCGAGACAAGTTTTCTCTGTGGCTTTGGAGGCTGCCTTAGAACTAGCTCTTGTAGACTAGGCTAGTCTCAAACTCACAGAAATCCGCCTGTCAATCCCTCCTGAGTGCTAGAATTAAAGTTGAATGCCACCACGGCCCAGCTCTAGCTAAATGTCTTTAAAAAAAAAAAAAAATCTTTGGAGGGGCTTAGAAATGTAGGATAAGGGAAGAAAGCAACGTTTTTCTTTCTTTTTTGCTTTTTAGATTTATTTATTTATTATGTATACAGTGTTGTGTGTGCATGTGTTCTGTGAACTCAGGACCGCTGGAAGAGCAGCCAGTGTTCTTAACCTCTGAGGCATCTGCCCAGCCCCAAGGGCAAGTTTTTCATTAGATTTTTAAAAAAAATTGTTTGATTTTATAATTTCGGATGTTTTGTCTGCACCATGTATGCCTGGGGCCTGAAAAGGTTAGAGTATTGGGTTCCCTGGAACTAGAGATGCAGATGGTTATGAAGCATCATGTCAGTGCCTGGAATCAATCTTAGGTCCTCTGAAATAGCAACCATTGCTCGTAATTGCTAAGCTATCTCTCAAACCCCACTTTTATATTTTTAAATTTTATATAAATCAGCTGGATGGTGGTGACACACAACTTTGATCTCAGCACTTGGGGATGCAGAAGCAGGCAGATCTCTGAGTTTGAGGCCAGCCTGTTCTATATAGTGAGTTCCAGGACAGACAGAGCGACATAGTGAGACTCTGTCTCAAAATACCAAAAATTTTATATGAGTTATACTGACATCAAATTAAGAGTCCAGACTGAGTTACTTAGAATAGAAAGAAACTGAATGATTAGTATGTAGACCCGTAGACTATAATGTCAGCAGTCAGATACTGTGTACATTTAAAAACACTGATTAAGAATTCCCACAGGCTGGGTGGTGGTGACGCACACCTTTAATCCCAGCACTCGGGAGGCAGAAGCTGGCAGATCACTGTGAGTTCGGGACCAGCCTGGTCTACAAGAGCTAGTTCCAGGACAGCCTCCAAAGCCACAGAGAAGCCCTGTCAGGAAAAACCAAAAAAAAAAAAAAAAAAAAAAAAAAAAAAAAAAAAAAAAAATAACAATAATAATAATAGTCATCCAGGAGGCCCAGTCCAACTCTTACAAGCTGATCACTCCTGCTTCAGGGTACAGGGTACAGTCTTACTGTTATCGATAATTACCCTCATCCAGGAATTCAAGGTGACCTTAAGGCGAGATTAAGGACAATGATAGAGCTGTACTTCAGCCAAAGCAAAGGAGACAGACAACAAAAAAATTCCCACAGTTAAAATTTTTGGTGATTCTTTCTTTGTTACAAACTACACAAGCAAAAGTTGAAGCAACAGGCAGTCCATACAGGAATCAAGCAGGTATGCTAAAAGTGAAACGAACTAATACCACCCAACCCCTCAATGACTAGACATATGCCTTTATCAAAGCTTACACTAACGGTACCTTCAAACTCTTAGGTTGTTGTCGAACTTCCATAACATGTTTTCGCCTTAGTTCCCGTTCCCTTCGCTTATTGTATTCTAGCTGGTTAGTGAGCTCAGTTTGATGCTGCAGTCTGATCAACTCACAACGCATCTTCTGAATAGTATTGAGGTGGCGAAACTCCAGTTCTTGCATGGATTCATGCTGTCGTAGTAGCATAGCATGTTCCAAGTCCTTCTGAGTTTGCCTTTTGTTTAACTCCTAAAATACAGTTCAAAACACAAAGGAATAATTTATAGCTTTACAAATAGGGGGGTACATTAACAAATAAACAAGATGGCTGGAGAGATAGCTCAGAGGTTAAATCACTTGCCATGGAAACATGAAGATCTAATTTCAAATCCCCAGAACCCACATAAATTTTAGCCCTGATACTATGTGTCTATAGTATGAGAGAGAGAGATGGGAGGGGAGGGAGGAGAGAGGGGTGCAAGTGAGAGAGCACCTACATGCAAGCATATGTCTGTATGCAAATTAAAAAAAAAACTCATGCACACAAAAAAAGTGGATACAATTAATCCTGTGCTCCAATAATGGCTGCACAGTAAATACTAAGTTTCCGTGACTTTTGTGTCTGTGTGTTTGAGTGCCATTTGTAAATTAAAAAAAAAAAAGATTTAATAAGGAAGAGATAAATTCTTAATCAAAACTTCTCAGAATAATATGTAGCACATGGTGGTGAAGAATGAATATTTTTAATTTAAATGTATGTATGTAAATATGTATACAATGTTCTGCCAGCATGTATCCCTGCAGGCCAGAAGAGGGCACCAGATCTCATTACAGATGATTGTTAGCCACCATGTGGTTGCTGGGAATTGAACTCAGGACCTCTGGAAGAACAGCCTCTGCTCTTAACCACTGAGCCATCACTACAGCCCAATGAATGTTATTCTTGCTGGACATAGTGGCTCACACCTGTTAACAGCAGAACTAACAAGACAGGTAGGTTGTACTCTGGTGTTAAGTCCAGCCTTGTCTACATATCAAGTTCCAGGGCAGCCAGGGCTGTGACAGATACTGTCTCAAAACTAAAATATAACAAAATAAAAATAAAGTAAAATATTTGCTAGACAGTGATGGTGCCCACCTTTAATCACAGCACTCCAGAGGCCAGCCTGGTCTACAAAGTGAATTCCAGGTCACCGCTCTTGGAAAACTGACAGACAGTAAGTTAATCTCTTAAAAAAAATTTTTTCCCCCAAATAAAAAGGGGAGCTGGGGAGATGATTCAGTGAAAAAAAGGAACCAAGCTCATGTAAAGGACTTTGTCTCAGTTCCCAGCACCTGCATAGTGGCTCATAGCCTCCTCTACTTCCAGGGCATACAACAACCCTCTTCTTCTTCCCTCCACAAGCACTGCACGTACATGGGTGTACGTGCACACAATAAATACATATTTTGAAAAAGTATGTATACATATAGATATATCAATAATAACATGAAAAATAAAAGACCTAGAAACAGATATTGGGGTTCAACCTGAAGATCTGGAAAGCAAAGCAGCCAAACTAGTAGAGGGCTCTTACCTCTAAAGGGGCTGGGGTGTTCCTATTCTCAATGTAGCAGAATGAATCCCTGATGCTGAGACCTTGCTCCTGTCTTATATACCTCCCTAATGCTGGAATTAAAGGCATTTGATCCCAGCTGCTAAGACTATCTTTGTATGCCCTATTTCTCTTTAGGACTGGATCAGTCTTATGTAGATCTGGGTGGCCTTAGACTCACAGAGACCCATCTACCTCTTAATCCTGAGTCCTAGGATTAAAGATGTGTACCAGCACCTCCTAGCTTCTGGCTGCTGGGATTAAAGGTGTGGGTCTGGCTTCTATGGCTTGTGACTGACTTTGCTTTCCAAATCGTCAGGCAAGCTTTAATAAATGATAAATAATATATCACTACCCAATAATGTGAAAAATCAGTGGCACCCATTACCCTGCAAACTCTCTATCCCTAGAGGCCAACAGCTTGTTGTAGATGTTTCTCAGCTTTATCTTATTTATTGGGACATATCCAGTAATAAAAAAATAAAACAGCAATTAATTGATTAATACAGGCACAAAACATTTTCTTCATTTGAAGATCTAATGCATATATATTCAGGTTAGATCAGTATGCAAATACTTTTTTTCATTCTCTCCCTTTTCATTCTCTCTTTACAAAATTTCACTATGTAGTCTAAACTGCCACGAATGAAAAAACCCTCTTGCTTACTTACATGACTACTCATTTAAGCTGGATCTCTTGTTTTTGCTTTTACCAACGATATCAACGAATGTCTAACTATTGTATCATAAAATCATGTTACTATTTCTACAGGATAGAACTCCAAATGTACATATGACATGTAAACGTTTGTGTGAATACTTTTCAAGATTTACTTTCATTTTTCATTATGTATATATACTACATGTGTTTGGATATCCTGAGAGGTCAGAAGTAGGTGTCTGATCCCATGGAGCTGGAATTACAAGCTGTTATGAGCTGCCTTAAGTGAGTGTTGGAACTAAATAAAGGTCCTCTGAAGGTCAGAGAACTTTCTTAAACATTGAACCATTGCTCTAATCACTCTGCATGTTTTTAAAAGCTATAGTTCAGCCAGGCTGTGGTAGCACACGCCTTTGACCCCAGCACTTGAGAGGTAGAGGCAGGTAGATCTCTGACTGTGAGGCCAGCCTGGTCTACAGAGTAAGATCCAGAACAGCCAAGGGTACAAAGAGAAACCGTATCTTGTAAAGCAAATCAAAAAACTATAGTTCACAGGATGGTACTAACAATGTCCATTAACAGATAAGCCTGCTTCTGCCTCTAAGTGCTGGGGTTAAAGGCATGGCCCTCCACACCTTTGAAATTTTCAATTTTCACAAAGGATTCATTGATAAAGAGTTGTACTGCAAGAATCAGGAGATAAGGCAGGAGTTACCACACAAGTTTAGGACTAGCTTGGACTAAATAATAAGTTTTTAGGCCAGCCTGGCCCATAAAGTAAGCCCTTGTCTTAAAAAAAAAAAAAAAATTTAATCTCCAGCACTGAATATATTTATCTATTTGTTTTAATTTTTATATCATTCAAATGTACATACCTCCCTGACAAGGTCCTGTTCCAAGTTATGTCGCCCAAGTAACATTCTTCTCTTGAAGCGACGACATTCTAGCTCTAGATACTGCCTTTGACGTCGAAGAAGGTTAGCTTCTTCTTCTGCCTGGAAATGTTGTATATTCTCCTTCTGCTTTGAAAGCCATTCCTGCTTTTCTTTTTTAGGTGTGCTCTGATTTTCATTCAGCTCCTGGAAACAAAAATAACCCCCCCCAAAAAAAAAAAAATCAGGTACATAGAAATATGAATGTATAGTGTGATATGGTACATAAAACTAGTAATTATTACTTTGTGGCCTGTGATGGTCTTGAATTTACAATCCTGCTGCTTTAGCCTCCTTGGTGGTAGAATTATGTAGGTATGTATCCCCATGACTAGCTATGGTAAATATACTTATTTACTCTTCACAGTGAAGGGAATTTAATGTAGGGCCCTGACAATACTGGAAGCTACATCTCCAATTCATTACACGGTAAACTGAAAAATACTTTAATTGTGTTTTCTTTCTATTAGGAGCTCAGTAGACCTGGAAAAGTTAGATAATATGTTTCTATGTACATCATAATACACGAATAGCTTTAGTTTTGCACAGAATGACGGATTAGCAGGTAAAACATTACAAAACCTTCCAAGAAGAGACATCAGTGATTCAAGTAAAAAAAAAAAAAAAAAATCTTATTTTTGTTGGTATTAAGGATAAAGCATTTAAGCATAATTTTTAAAAGATTTTATTTATTTATTTATTTATTTATTTATTTATTTATTATGTGTACAACATTCTGCTTCCATGTATATCTGCACATTAGAAGAGGGCACCAGATCTCATAACAGATGGTTGTGAGCCACCATGTGGTTGCTGGGAATTGAACTCAGGACCTCTGGAAGAGCAGTCGGTACTCTTAACCTCTGAGCCATCTCTCCAGCCCCTTAAGCATAATTTTAATGCCTTTGTTTTTCAAGATTTTGAAATTTTCTTTAATGGAACTACATTCATATTGGGCAAAAATGAAAAAAATAAACAACTAATCATATTACTCAAGGAGATCAACCCTAAGATGCTAATTAATACTGGTAGATTTTTCCTCAGACTCCTGAGTAGGTGATTACAGGTATATAACACCGAATCTAGATCATGAAATGATTCTATTTAGTTCCTATTCAACTAGAAAACTTAAGTAAAGTGCAGATAATAATCAATACCTTCATGTCAATAGATATATACCTTGTGGCCACAAATATATCTTTATGCTGACAGCTGAGTAGAGAACCATTAAACACAACTAATGGCAGAAAAACATAAGGTATTTTTGTAAAAGAAGTACCTCCTTAAGCTGCTCTTTTCGAAGTTTATATTCTCTTTTTTGGGACTCCAAAAAGCTATTCAGCTCTTTCTTCTGTTGAGCCTGAATGTGTTGCTGGAATTTTTTCTCCTCATTGGCCATCACTTTTGCCTATACAGAATTAACAAAAAAAAAAAAAAAAAAAAATCAAATTAGTTAAACAGATAAATTTAAAGCATCCATTAGGAAGGATACTTAGTCGTGGCAGTAGAAGTAGATGACCAACAGAAGCATCAAAAATAAACAACAAAACAATCTAATCAATTTATCATCCTTTTCAGTCTAACTTTAGAGATCAGTATGATGCAATTTATTTTTTAAAAGTATTTACAGAACCAAAATGTTTTCCTCATTTTATTGAATAAGAACATACATTCCACTAGGCAGTAGTGGTGCACACCTTTAATTCCAGCACTTGGGAGGCAGAGGCACTCAGATCTCTGAGTTTGAGGCCAGCCAGGGCTGTTGTTACACAGAGAAACCCTGTCTTGAAAAACCAAAAGCCAAAACCAAAACCAGAAACCCCAAAACAAACAAAAAAACCCATAGGTTCCCTTCATTAAAACCAAATACATGTTTAACTTCAAACATAACCTAATAATTGTATATGTATGTGGAGGTGCCTATGGAGGCAAGGGGAAACAGCTCCCCCCATTACTGGGTTAACAGGTATTGTGAATCACCAGATGTGGGTGTTGGAAATTGAATTTAGGATTACTGGAGTATGTGCTCTTAATTGCTGAGCCATCTCTCTAGTTCTATAAAACCAAGCTTTTATAACTGAGTTAATTTATGTATTAAATAATGAGATATATTCATCTTCAAATTAGATCTTTAATGTAACTCATATTAAAATGAATGCTAACTATTGCATATGTGTCATATATAACTTGGGTGCAGTGTGTGCTGTTTTGAGTATACATGTGAGTGTGCACAGGTGGAGGCCAGAGGTAGATTATGGGTGTCTTCCATATTTTCTGAGATTCTCACTGAATAAAGAGCTAATCAATTCATCTAGATTAGCTGTAACATTCTGCTGCAAAGCCACTGTTTTATAGGATGTGATTTTTTTTTTTGTTGTTATTGCAGGGCTAGGATAAAATTGTGAACTTTGAACACGCTAGGGAAGCACCCTTTCACCTTCACTGAACTTTACCTCCAGACCCTTTTCTAAAAATATTGAGTCTTAATGTGTGACTCAAGTTATTTGTAAACTTTCTATGTGTGTAGCTCCAACTAGCTTTCCTTCAACTTTCAATACTGTCTTTGTTTCCCAAATACGCTGAGGGTTACAGTTATGTGCAATGACTCCTAGCCTAACAAATTTTACTTTCTTACTTATTTAAAGGTAGGATCTTACTGTGTGGCACTGGCTAGACTGGCTAACATCAAACTCACAGAGATCCACTGCCTTCACCTCCCAAATACTGAGATTAAAGGCATATACTACCACATCTAGCCTGGACATTAATTTATTTACTCATTTACTTACTTACTAATTTATTTCTTTTTGAGACATTGTTTCTCTGTGTAGCCCTGGTTGCCTGGAACTCACTTTGTAGACCAGTCTAGCTTCGAACTTAAACATAGATCCACCTGCCTCTGCCTCCAGAATGCAGGGATCAAAGGTGTGTGCCACCACTGCCAGGCCTGAACTAGGTTTTTTGTTTTGTTTTGTTTTTCGAGACAGGGTTTCCCTGTGTAGCTTTGAAGCCTATCCTGCCACTAGCTCTGTAGACCAGGCTGGCCTCGAACTCACAGAGATCGCCTGCCTCTGCCTCCCAAGTGCTGGATTAAAGGCATGCACCACCAATGCCTGGCTTAATACATCTAATTTTCAGATTCACAATGCACAGATTCATTTATAAAACTAATAAGAGAAAAAACATACAGGAGTCAGTTTTGTTTTTAAAAACAGAAAGATATATATATATATCAAAAAAACGTAAATGCTACCAGGCAGTGGTGGCACAAGCCTTTAATACCAGCACTTGGGAGGCAGAGGCAGGTGGATATATGTGAGTTTGGGGCCAGCTTGGTCTACACAGCCAGTGCCAGGACAGGCTCCACAGCTACACAGAGAAACCCTGTCTCGAAAAACCAAAACAAACAGACAAAAAACATAAATGCTTCTCTTTCCTGGATCAATTTATTTAGCTCCCAGAGTTAGATACTTTAAATATCAAAATGCAAATCTAGATAATTCAGAGATGGACACAATCTAAAAGAAATTAATAGTATTAATTAATCACCTCTTTTTCCATAGCAGCTTGGTGTTTCTTGATAAGTTTCTCCATTTCTGCAGCAAAATTGTTACGCTGAGTTTCAAGATCTTTGTCTAATCTGAGACGGTGTTCATCCATCTCTGCCTTTAATTTATTTTCTAGAGTCATCAGCTGCTTTTGATGCTGCCGCCTCATCCTCTTGTAACCAGACATCTGTTCTCTAAGTTCAGAGTCCTGCTCATGCTCTTGCATCTGTCTCGTAACCTAGACACAAATTGAGAAAAAAAGACAAGAAAGCAAAACATTTTTCTTTCACAAGCATTTAGAAAACTGGGCACAGTAGAGCACGGGCCTGTAATCTTAGCGTATGTTTAGCAGAGAAAAGGAATCCATCACCAAGATTACAAGTCTAGACTGGTAGTACTATACATACATAATGAGTCTAAGGCCATGCCAAGACAAGACCCTGTACTCTACTAAGCAAAATAATAATGATAAAGCATTTAGAACATTACTATTACTTGAGGAGGTATTCAGCTTAAGAAATTACATTACAGTTCACAATTAAATTTTTAGCAGATTTTTTAAAAAGACAGTGGTTAAGGGGACTGGTGGCTCTTCCAGAGGTCCCAAAACCCCACATGGCAGCTCACAACTCTTTAACTCCAGGGGACCCGAAAACAGAAAAAAGAAAGAAAGAAAATGAACAAGCTGATTCTAAAACTTGTATGAAACCATATAGTATCATACAAATGAGCCAGGATTATTGGCACATGCTTTAATTCCAACACTTGGGAGGCAGAGGTAGGTGGCACACACCTTAGCACTTGGGAGGCAGAGGCAGGTGGACCTCTGAGTTAGAGGCTAGCCTGGACTATGGAGAGTTCCAGTATAGCTAGGGCTACAGAGAGAAACTCTGTCTTAAATAACTGAAAGGAAAGGAAAGGAAAGGAGAAGGGAGGGGAGGGGAAGGGAGGGGAGGGGAGGAGAGGGTGTGATCCCACCCACCCACCCCTAGCTGGAGAGAACGCCCAGTCTACAGACAAAGGGAATTTCTAAGCCCCTTGTCAGGTGTTTCCAAAGGAATCCATATCATGCCTTCACACTGGAGGTGCAAGGGCAGCTGCTAGGAAGCTTTGAAAACCTCGGGATACAACAGGAGAGCTCAGGGAAAGGGCCAACAA